CAGCACTCTGTGCCCAGAAAGTTCTGGCCTTTAAAGGGGCCAACCTGTCTTCGGGTGACAGGGCTAGGGTTCCCTGTTACACCACCCCAGGCCCCATGCTTTGGGGGGGTCCACAGAGCAAGGCAGAGTGTCCATGGGGTCTCTATCTGGCCTCTCGCTACCCCTTGCCCCCCCCAACTGCTGCCACTGTCAATGGTGGCCGTGGCTTGGTGATGCGGCTTTGCATTCAGGGCACTTGGGATTGGGGGGTGGGGGCAGTCCCTGCATGAACTGATTTGCCCCTGGCCCCACACCTACCTCGGGTCAGCTCTGACAGGGTGTGGGGCCTGGGGCAAATCAGTTCCTGTGGGGATCTGCCTGCACTCTGGATGTGACAAAGCCACTGCCAGTGGTGGCAGCAGCAGGCGGGGTAGTGAGCAGCCGGACGCGAAGCCAGCAGCAGTACCGGTGGTGCAGAGTCGCCATAGGCACTCTGCCGGGCTCTGGGCCCCCCAAAGCATGGGGCCCGGTGTGGTCACCCCGATTCATGCCTGCATTCCCCAGGGATGGCCCTGGCTGCTGCTGGCCCCAGGTGGCAGAACCAGCCTCTAGTCATCTGGCAGTCAGGTATGGGGCCTGTCCACACCCCTGGGAGGGCTGCAGAGGCTGTGCCGGAGTCCTCCCAGGGGTGCAGCCCCCAATCTGCCAGCCGGATGACAGGAGGCCAGCAGCAGCAGTGATCTTTCCAGCTCTGGGTGCGGGCTGCGCCCAGCATGGGTTTGTCATCTGGCAGGCAGATCAGGGGCCCACAACCCTAGGAGGACTCTGGCACAGCCCCTGCAGCCCTCCCCGGGGGTGCGGCGAGCTCCCAATCTGCCCGCCTGATTCCCCATTGTAACGACAAAACAGCATTGTAACAGCCAAAGAGTTTCGATGAAACAAAGCGGAACAGTGCTTTCAAAACTAAATATAACACTGTTCCATCGAAACAGAAGTTGAAGCAGAACGGTGGTTTCGCACAGCCACACCAAACACATTCTGTGGCCTTCCCAGATTTAGAGCGAGCCAAGTACTCTGCTCTGTCAGTTAAACCAATAGTGGCCAGTGATCTTCTCCTGTCAGTCTTCAGGAATCCTAGAACAGCTGTGTATCTCGTTCCGTATATTCTGGGATGGGGATAACTTAAAACCAGTAATGTTAAGCTTCATGAAGTGCTCTCTTGGGGCAAGTGATATGTTTCCATCATTTGGGGAAGAAATGGCTGAAAAATTTTCAAAAGTTTGCCCCAAACCTACCAGTGACTGTTGTTGAGCAATATGCTCAATATATCTGCTACATCCCATGTGGCCAGAAGCCTACTTCAGCATCGATGGCTCATTCCCTTCTTAGTTTTTTTGTAGAGACTGCTGAGAAAGGGAATAGCAGCTTAATGACAATGTTGATATTTAAAATGCAAAGTGATAGCAAATATACCATGAGATATACCTCCACTATAGGATTGTGTATAAAGGATACTAGACCTGTTGAGTCTGGCTAAGATGATAAGGCACCTTGATAAATATCCAGGCATGATTTCTTCCATTATTGGCTGTGGTAATGACTTTCATAATGTGAAGAGTTAGCAATGTCAAAGATGTATCTGCGAGCATCCACTTCTAGGACTCTCTGTTCATCATTTGGACAGTATTAGAGGCGGCAGGTGAAAGAATCCACAGCTCTTTAGTAGATCCAGTCCTTCTGGTTATGCTGTTTTGATCAAATTGAAAATCCTTCCAACACAGATCAGACAGGCTTTATATGTGAATGTGATTATAGGTTCTTGGCTAATTAATGCAGACTTTTCAATGTAATCCACTTTTTGAACAAAACAAGTACCATCTTGTATAATTACTTAAACTCCTTGGCAAGGTAGAAGTGGTATCTTGGATGCCTGGGAAGTACCTAGCATGCTGTGTGGGTGCTACTTTAATTTAAAAAATGTTGAAAAGATTTCATTTTGTAAAGTGATGTTTGGCTGAATTCTGGTAGGTGAGAATTTCATAGACTGCATTGGGACAGTTGGCGTGTTGTCTCGAGTCTCACTATTAATCATTGTCAAACTGTTCTTCCCTTTTGCTTTATAGGAGGCACCCAACTGGGCTGTTTCCTATTCCTCAAGCTCTTCATTTTTAGCTCCGAGTTAAACCATCTAACACTAAACCCAGCTCTGTGCAGATAGGTTTTGTAGTGGGCAGAAACCTGTGTGTTTAGCACTGTCTTCAGTAAGAGCTGCTGTAAGTTTCAGCAAGTTCTCATGATACAAACTGAGGGGTTTTTTGTTCTGCAAGTCAACAGCAATATCCTTTGGTGACAGACACTAACACCATTATTTTTAGTTTGTGTTCTGGAGGTATTCAGTATCTACAGCTCAGTTTCTAACATGCAGGGTTTGCAAACTTATAGAATCTCATGCCTCAAAATGAGTTGTGATGATGCTTCCTTTTTTGAAATATTTAGTGCTTTTTCACACTAAAGTCCTGAAACTCCTTTTAAAAACATTTTTATATAAAAGATTAGGAGTTCCCCATTCAGGGCCTCTGACATCACAATTAATAGGTGTGTCAATCCCTCTAGTCCTATATAGCTTTTATTTCTGGACCTATTTAGCATATCAGACTGTTTTGGCTTTGGAAAATTTAGCAACCCAGTAAGCAGAGATAAAACGATACCAATCAAGAGAAATACAAACTTATCTATTGCACTCGGGTCTCTGACATACAGATAAATCTGGTCTTACATTACAGCATTGTAAAAAGGTTTGGGCCATATATAAGCACAGTCAAAACTACCTTTAAGATCAAAACTTCTCAATTTCCGCAGGTGGGATGGGCATTCCAGGTTATAGGATTATTTAAAAAAACAAAAAAAAACCCCAAACAAACCCAAAAACATCTTAATAATAACTTTTTATTGTGTTGCCACCAGGCACTTTGGCAAATCTTTGGATAAACTCTTCAAAACTTGCCTCAGTCAGACTGAAGTAAGTGTAGATTTTGCTTGCTTTTGCCAACTGTTGTGTTTTCAAGGTTTCCAGTAATGTCTAAAAATGGCTTAACAGTATACAGAAAAATTTGATAAGGTTATATGAATATTACTTTATGGTTGTTTCAAAATGGCAAGATATATTTCAGAGGTGAACTTTTTTGGAGTGGTAAAAACCAACGCAAAGTAACTCCAGGCAGTGCTTTTTTTTAATAGCTTTTTTTTCCCCTCGAAGCATAAAACAGGCAGCTTTGTAGACAGCTGTAACACCAAGGTGATTATGGTGATGACTCACACTTCCCTGTAAGGCATCCAGCTATCAACACATTTGGAGAGCTGTACCTTTGTATATGCAAGGAGAGTGTCAGTCAGTGCCCAGTTGCCAGCTCTGAACTGCTGAGCTCATAAGTGCTTTGGCAGGAAGCTGGGATGCTGTTGCTAAGAAAGGAACTTTGATTCCCCGGCTTGAGTGGTTTAGCAGGTGAGTGGTTAGCAGTAGAGGTAAGGGGTCTTGAAGGGAAGAGGTAGTTTAAATTGAAGATGGGGAAAGGAGGAAAGCTCAACCTGGTCCCACAAGAAGTTTTCTTTTCAGGAGCCCCAAGTGGAATTTAGCTGCAAGATGATGTTCAGATTTTGTGTTGTAATAAAGGCCTCACTATCTACAACTCTGGAATGTAGAACGGGAGCTGGGAGAGAGTCACTGAAAAAGCAAAAAGAGACTATAAATGCTTGGGCATAACTACCTAGTGTACATCTAAGTTAGTGGTTATGACAGGGGACTGGCAGTTGATGTTGCATTAATATGATCAACTTGGAGGAAAGAGCCCGGGATAGTTGTAAGCAGTTCAGTAAAGACCTCTGCTGAATGGGCAGCTACAGTTTTTAAAAAGGGGACCAAATGTTAAGGTTCACAAGGAATAGGATGGCCATAATGTGGGAAATATCACATGGTTGTGTAAGCCATTGTTTTAGCCAATTCTGGAATGCTGTACATACTGTGGGACACCACATATCTAAAAGGGATTTAGCAGGACCAGAAGAAAAAGGAGAATAATTAGGGGTATGGCAAATCTTGGGGAGGCAAGTAGGGAAAAAATTGGGGTGGTTACCTTAGAACAGGGATATCAAGCATGTGGCCCACAGGCTGGATCTGTAGAGCCATTTCACCCAGATCGTAGGGCTTTTGGATGGTCTGGAAATTTTGGCAAGGGAGCATTAGAAGTATGTAGGGTAACAAACATAGGTGTGTGGGGGGCAGGTGGGGGCTGTCTCAAATGTCAAGAACATGGGGCCATTCAAGGAAACTAAAACTGACCAAGGGAAGTACTCTTTCACACACCATGTAACTGAACTATGTAAATAACGGGGTGTAATTGTCAGCTTTATGGATTGTCATTGAAATAGAGAACTTAACAAAACCCCCGGGGCAGACTACCTATAAAGACTGTGAGAGCATCCAGAGAAGTTATAGCTAATTTTATTTTATAATAAAATAATAAACTTCCTTTTGGAAAGTAGATAGACATCCATGTGACTCACAGAAAGCAAACTACTAGAAGAAGAGTTTTTTGAGGACAGATCAGTTAACTTACTGCAGGATTCTTTGCACCACTTTGTTGGACACATCTGGAGCAGGATACTCCTGCAGTCAGAGCTGTGGTTGTTCTAGCCCAGAGTTCTGCTTCAGTAGAGCAAGTACTGTGTTGGTTTCATGGTTTGCTTTATACCTCTTTGTGCACACTGTGCTGACTGAGTAGTGCCGTTCAGTTCAAGAGAACTGAATGATGGGACCTTTAATTGATTTGACTTTAAAATGAAGTGTATTAAGTCAAATCCCCCATTGGTCAATGTTGACACGGTAGTCGATAAATTAAAAAAAACAAAAAACTGTTGTATATCGCTGTTGTCTTTAAAATAGTCCTGGGTTAACTTAAGAAACAAAATCAAACCAAGTATTTTTGTCTTCCTCCCCTTCTTCCTCCCCCTCTTACCTCCTTCAGTTTTTAATAAGCGACCGTGACAGAGATCCTCAATGTAACCTCCACTGCTCCAGGTCCCAGGCTAAACCCCTCTGTGCCTCGGATGGCAGAACTTATGAGTCAATGTGTGACTACCAACGAGCCAAATGCAGGGAATCGAGCCTGAGTGTAGCACATCGAGGTAGATGCAAAGGTAAGTGAATGTCACAATAATTATACTTTGAGGTGGGGGGAGAGAGGAGGTCCGCTATCTTGTTCTAATGCTGGAATTTGGTTTTCAAAGGAACTGTCCCACTAGAAAACTTTGACCAGGTCCTGGTTCATAAGCATCTTAAAATAGTCTCCTAATAGAAGATATCAGGCCAACTTCATTATAGTTGTTGTGCTTTGCACACCTATGATACCATGCTGACACACATGAAATTTGTCCTGTGTTCTTTTTATAGAGACTATACAGGAGTCTTGAATTTTACAGGTGCTATCTTAAACTCTTAATGTCACCATCCTTCCTAAAATCTCTTTCACTATAGACAGGTGAACTCCTGCCTCCATTCAGTCCTCGATGCTAACTTCCGTTGCTTTTTGGTTTGAAAAGCCTAAACGGATGCTTTTGTCTTCTCTCCCCCTTAGCTATCCTTCATCTTTGGTATAAGGTACCAAGAAACATTATTCATCATCACCTAGCTGTCTGAGGTCTGGGTTCATGGTTGGGATTTCCGGATGCTATGCTAATACTAACACTACTGGTGATTTGAATGAAGCAATGTGGAAATGTCCTTGCAATTCCTCCTCCCATTACTGGATTTGAATGTAGCTTTGATAAAGCCACAAAACATATCATGTGCTGTTTTGGTAGAATAAAGCATTCTTTATGGTCAGGTTAAATAACTGCTATTGACCCATGTAGATTGGGTACTATTATCTATTGAGATACAGAAGACAAGATGCAGTCCTTTTGGACATCAGATGTACTCCGTACCTCTATGCGGTAGTGGGATCAAAAATGTACTCCCAGTTGAAGAGGACGTGAATGTTGCTGTCTCATTGCTAAATAAAATTCTAGCTGTTGTTCACTTTGCATCTGGAGACATTGCAAACAAACTGGTGTCTAAAGATTTGCTTTTCCAGTCATTAGAATACAGGCACTATTGGAATGGAACATGACAGCTAATTTATGGTATACAGCAGTGCTAAATAATGACTCCAAGATCCCTTTCCGTCTCTGTGCTTTCAAGAGGGGAACTCCACAGCCTGTATGTATGCTGTGGATTCCTTCTCCCAAGGTGCAGCACCCTGCATTTGTCTACATTGAACCCCATCCTATGCTCATCTTCCCGCTTTTTATTACTTTTTCTTTATTCAGACACCTAACTAAAAGTAGCTTGTGAGAGAAAGGCAGCACTTTTCCTTTTTCTTTATTACTTCTTCTTTATTTCCTATTTCTTTATTACTTCTGCATCTTCTGGATTTGATAAGTTCTTTACAAGTTAAATACTTTCCTGACAGCTATTACTGCAAATGCAGCCCAGTATCTGGGTTTTCTGCCTTTACAGCAGCACAGGAATGATGATTTTTCATTCAGAGCTTAGCTAATGTATGAGACAAATTAGGATGTTAGGTAGGTAATTGTCAAGCCTCCTCTTAAAGACCCCCAAGGTAGGAGCCAGCACCACTTCCCTTGGAAGTTGGTTCCAGATCCTAGCCGCCCTGACTGTGAAGTCATGTCTTCTAATGTCCAGCCTGAACCTACTCTCAAACAGCTTATGGCTGTTGTTTTTTGTTACTCTGGGAGGTGCTTGGGTGAACAGGGTCTCTCCCATTCCTCGCTGGTCCCCCCCCTGGTAAGTTTGTAGACGGCCACCAGGTCCCTCTCAGCCTTCTCTTATGAAGGCTGAACAGGTTCAGGTCCCGTAGCCTCTCCTCATAGGGTCTGCCCTGCTGTCCCCGGATCATGTGGGTGGCCCTCCTCTGAACCCTCTCGATGCTGGCCACATCTCTCCTAAAGTGCGGCGCCCAGAACTGGACGCAGTACTCCAGCTGCGGCCTGACTAGTGTCGCATAGAGAGGGAGGATCACCTGCTTGGCCCTGCTTGTGATGCATCTGTGGATGCATGACAAGGTGCAGTTGGCCTTCCTGACTGCATCCCCACACTGGCGGCCCATGTTCATTTTGGAATCGATAATGACTCCAAGATCTCTTTCTGTCACTGCTTTCGAGAAGGGAGTTCCCCAGCCTATAGGCATGCTGCTGGGTCTTACCGCCCAAGTGCAGCACCCTGCACTTGTCAGTATTGAATCCCATCCTATTCTGATTCTCCCACCCCTGTAACCTGTCCAGGTCCAGCTGTATCCTGTCCCTCCCTTCTAGCATGTCCACCTCACCCGAGATCTTGGTGTCGTCAGCGAATTTGAACAGGGTGCTTTTCACCCCCTTGTCCAAGTCGCAAGTAAAGAGATTGGAAAGTGCAGGCTCAAGGACCGAGCCCTGGGGGACCTCACTGCCCTCATCCCTCCAGGTCGAATATGACCCATCCACCACTCTGGGTGAGGCCCCTTAGCCAATTTGTGACCCATCTGACTGTGTAGGCATTAATGCCACAGTTGCATAGCTTTTTAATGAAAATGGGGTGGGAGACAGTGTCAAAGGCCTTTCTGAAATCCAGAAAGACTACGTCTACCACCTGCATCCAAGGATTTTGTGACCTGATCGTAGAAGGCCACCTGGTTGGTCTGACAGAACCTGCCCCTAATGAACCTGTGCTGGTTGCCCCTGAGCATTGTCCCCCCTGCTGATTCTTCCCATGTATGCTCCTGGATAATCTTCTCAAAGAGCTTCCCCAGGATCCAAGTAAGGCTAACAGGCCTGTAGTTGCCTGGGTCCACCCTCCTCCCTTTTTTGAAGATGGGGACCACATTGGCCCTCCTCCAGTCATCTGGCACCTGGCCAGAGCACCACGAGTGCTCATAAGGCCATGCCAGGGGCCCCTCGATAACCCCTGCCAATTCCCTCAGCACCCTGTGGTGGAGAACATCTGGACTTTTTGATCTGAACACGTCCAGTCCCACCAGAAGTTCCCTAACTCGGTCCTTGCTGACCCTAGGCCTGGCGGAGTCACTCCTGAGTCCATCCTGAATCTTAGTGGAGGAGTCCTGGTCATAGTTTCATAGTAGCTAGGGTCAGGAGGGACCTGAACAGATCATCTAGCCTGACCCCCTGCCACAGGCAGGAATGAATGCTGGGTTGAAAAGACCCCAGACAGGTGATCTTCCAACCTCCTCTTGAATTTGCCCAAGTTGGGGCAAGGACCACTTCCCTGGGAAGTTGGTTCCAGATTTTGGCCACCGTAACTGTAAAAGATCGCCTTCTGATCTCTGACCTAAACCTATTCTCCATCAGCTTATTACCATTGTTCCTCATCACCCCAGGTAGTGCTGGGGAGAAAAGGGCTCTACCTATTTGCTGTCAATCTCCCCTGATGAGTTTGTAGGCAGCCACCAGTTCCCCCGTAAGCCTCCTCTTGCTGAGGCTGAACAGGTTCAGGTCCCTCAGTCTCTCCTCGTAGGGCCTGTCCTGCTGCCCTCTCACCAAGCAAGGTGGCCCTCCTCTGAACCCTCTCCAGGTTGGCCACATCCCTTTTGAAGTGCAGCGCCCAGTACTGGATGCAGTACTCCAACTGCGGCCTGACTAAAGTTGCATAGAGGGGGAG